CTTCAGCAGATAATATGGTTAGCTAACTTAAGCTAGATATCTAAATACAAAATCTGATAGCTCAGTGATTAATCAGCTCCCAGTAAACAACTGCACAAAAATAAACCTTATCTGCCAATTCAGTTGAGATGGCAGAGTTGTACATTCAGAAATAAAATCAGTTACTGTCGCCTACTGTTACTCATGCGCCGATGCCCTTAAACTCAGATTAGTTTTATCTGTAAGCCCCCTACACATCTCTCTATACTTGTACTTTTTTTTGTTTGTGTCTATGTATTTCTCTCTCAATCCCCATAACATGATTATCTTACATTATACTGTAAATTCCTCTCTCTATCTTGCTGTAAGTCTTTTTGAAGGTGTCTTTGCAGCCTCCGAGTCTTCATCCATTCATGTAAGTCTTTCTCTGGGACTTTCTTTCCTTCTCTATAAATTATTCTGTCAGTCTCTCTAGACGCATCCTTCTCTCTTCTTTCTCCTCTGTCTCTTAAAGTTAAGCTCTTCTGTTGGAAGGATTTGGTAAAAACCAGATTAATCAGTCAAACCCTGAGCAGCAAATGAATATACGACATTTCTCTCCTGAAAAGTCATCACTCCAGCTGCGGTCCGGAGGATGTTTAAGAAGGCTGAGAAATTCAAATTCTTACCATAATCCCCAGAAAGGCTAAGCCACCCTACTGCCCGTTGTGTTCATCAAGCCAAGGTGCCAGTGAATTCTTTCGATGTTTTAAGCAGCTTACAGAGTTCTGCTGATCCGATTTAGACGATTTCAGAAAATATGTAAAAGGAGGGGGGTGTCCAGAGAGCATAGTGGCTTGGAAAGGCTGGTTCTGCCTTTTTCCCTGATGGTGGTTGAACATGGCATTTTTAAAACATATCCAAGGAAAATACTGTATCTTCCCTTATCTAGAAGTCCCCATTTAACGTTGGGTGGAAAAACAGACCTCCCATTCCCATTACACGCTGGTTTGAGTCAGTCCTCAATAAATTCATGTTGTTTGACTTTGTCCATAGTCATGCTTTTGTTCACTTTTGATAGTTAAAGACATCAGGTGGCCTGGAAAGTCAGTCACTGATAAATAGCCTGGAGAATAGCATTTAGTAATGTGATATAGGGGTGAAACTATTCCACAATTTCAAATACTCAATAAGATGATTGTCATTATTCAACAACAATTTTTATAACCAATTAAGAGTTGAAGACATTTATCAAAAGCTAATTCCAAAAACTGTAGGATCTAGCATCTTAAATTTAGGATTTGCAGCTTCTTTACTTAAATCACTCCTTACTTAATTGGAGTTTGAGTGTTAGTTGGACAAAACAAGCAATCTGAAGACATTACCTTTGGTAATTGTAACAGGCTTTCTCACTATTTTTATAGCAACGGCTTGATTGAAAAAATTATTGATGTGGATTAGTGCGACAAGTCATGGCGTGGAAGGATGAGATGTGGTATGATTTACAGAAGTATAGTATGACATGGTGTGGTGAGGCTTTGTGACATGATGTGACATTACCGTGGTGTGCCGTGGCTGGATAGGAAATTTGATGTGGCGCTGTGCGATGTGACGTGTCACAAGCTGATGTGGCATGCTGTGATCTGTTGGTGTACTTGAGGGTTGGTGGGATGGTCATGGCAAAATTGGGTAAAAGTGAAGAGTGCAAGGAAAACAAGACAGTCCTCATCACTCTCAAGTCTTTTTTTTATCTCTCTCTCTCTCTCTGACTGACTTGCTCCATATACTTTCATCCACAGGGAATATTCTATTTTAAAAATTAAAAGAGAGACTGGTTTAAAAACATGACAGTAGAAAGAAGATGTTTTTCAGGAGAAGAAGTTAAAGACCTCACACACACACACAAACACAGTTTTGATATGTAAACCTTGGATATTCTGATGTATTTAGTATTTGTATTTTTTTCATGAGCACATTGTTACAAAGTACTGTTTTGTTCAGTCATATCTTCCTAACTTGAATTATCTCATATCAAAGAATCTTACCATGTCCAGCCTAAGGCCTTTCCTTGCATGGTGATATATTTATAAACTAAGCAGGAAGTGATACAGGTTCAAGACCCAATCAGATTGAATTAATTCAACATTCTAAGTTTATGTATTTGTACCAAGAAAGGAGTAAACTTGTGTAAGGCTTGTTTGAGAGAAAAAAAAAGGAAAAAAATATATGCTATCATAAAAGGAAGCAAAGGAACAGCAAGGGAGAGAAAGATCAGTAAGGGATGATCAAGAGATGAGCAGAGAGAGACACAAAGTGTTCCTCTCTGTCCTAGGGCTAAGTCGTCCTATCAGACAGACCGTTTCAGTTCACTTCACCTGCCTGAGCACAGCCCATCTTCATTCAGTGTGTGTTTTGAGGACAATCATTTAGCCAGTTGCTTCTGGTGTGTGTGTGTGAGAGAGAGGAAGATAGGGTATGCTTAACCCTGTAAATGTGTTTGTCCATGCAGACAGGTGACATATATGAGGAAGAACTTCACACACTCCACAATAAAAACACAAAAAAGGGAATATCTTTATGGTGTTCATCCTTCCAGTAGAGTTCTAGAGAGACTTGTACAGTCTATGCAAAGGAACACTAAAGCTGTTCTGCTGGTTCAGGCTTATGAATTTGTGTGTGTGTATCTGGAAAATGTGTGTATTTCAGTAAGTGAGCATGTATGTTACATGTGTGAGCGTGTGAGCGCTGATATACAACATAAGGCCTGACATGACAGATTGTATTGCTACAGGATTGTGCAAGAGTTCCAAAATGCTATCAAACCACGAGAGATAGCAGTGAGCCACAGTGCAGGATATCCTGTATGTAGAAAAACACAGAAATACACAAAACATTGGGGGATTGTAAGCACTTAGAGCCATGAGTCCTGCCAATATGCACTTGAGCACGCCACATTACAAACTGCTTACTCACTGAAAGTTTTGCTTGATAAGAAAGTCGGAAAATGCCTAAAATGTGAAATATTAACTCGTATGTAGATACAGAGAGACATGAGAGAGTGAGCAGGGGACAGAAAGAGAGAAGGGTGGAGGGAGGATGATTATCTTTTCCATCTTTCTCTGTCAACTCTTTCCTTCCTCTATCACAACACACTCTGCTGACACACACACACACACACAACACACACACACACACACACACACACACACAACACAAACACAACACGACACACACGACCTACAAATATGCATATACACTGCTCCTTTTTGGTCTCTGGGAACCTCAGCAAATTCCCTAAATGCCAGCCGTCCTCATTAAGGTCAAGTAGCGCAGCGATGATCACGTGTGGTCCGTGTGTGTCCCGTGTGTGATGTGGTGGTTTTGTGTGGTGGTGGTGCGTGTATGTATGTGCGTATGTAAGGGAATTTTAGAAAGCTATGACTACCATCCATCCATGGAAGCCGTCTATTATCTGCTATCAGATTGCAGTCTAGACCAATAAATAACAACATACAATGAATACTTACCAAAAGAGAAAAGAAACAGCAACAATAAATAATATGGCACTGAAAAGGGTGACAGCAAAACTAAACTACATGTTAGACCTGCAGTAAGTGATTTCTTGGTTTCTTTGAGGCAGCGGAAACCAAAAAACAAGAACACAGCATTGACACATCATCACTTCTAAAGCTGATATGAAAAACATTTTTAGCAAACAGTTTACAAGTCTGGCATTTATGGAGCAACATTATTGTTTCATTTGGAGTTGTGTTTCTGGCCACCTGGCAAGCATACTGTAAGTCCAATACTCACTCTCTTCTAGCTCTGTTCTTTTTTTGGTTTTCACTGTGGGAAATAACTGGCTGTTTAGCTGCTAAATGCTCCACTATGTTTACCAGCTAGTCGCTAACTGTGTCTCTCCGCTGATTGGTGCTAGGCAGATTATGCACAGTGAGTTTTTAGAGCTTTTTCCCTGAAAACAGCTGCTTGTTGCAAAATGAATGAACCAAAACAGCACATTTATGGCCCAGGCAGCTAAACAATGAGCTGAAACTCGCTATTAAACTCCTTAAAGCCAAGGGGAGCTGAAGATTCAGGTGGTAATTCTCTGTAGGTTCATCCCTATGGACGACCCCTTTCACATTGTCACACATTGTTTTTACATAGCCGTTTGATAAAATAAAATATCGGTTATAGCCGCTTTAAACAATGCAGTAATGACCTGAGACAGTTTCCTCCCCACTCTGTCAGGCTTCTTCAACACAGCAGAGATCCAACCCACAGTATGTCCACTTCATAAAAGCTCTGTTCTTAACATTTTCTGTGTGGTAGCTCCTTCCTGCTGCACAGAAAGTGTTTTAAATCTAAGGTTTGATTAGAATAAGCGGCATAAGAGAGCAGTGACCATCTCCATGCCTGAAGAGACAACGAAATTAGTTAAGGCAAGAAAAGAGAAAACTTTAGCGACAGAAAGTCCTAGAAAATCCAAGGAAAAGGATGTCACAGTCCCACCTACTATTTTTGACTGACAGCTCTGTGAAGAGCAGTGCAAATAAAACACAATCAACCCTAACTCTGGGCACAAAACACATAGACAGAAAGGGGATAAAAATCAGGACACTAATAAAGAGCTCAGCAGTGCAATAAACCATTACACCTGAGATCCAGTGTACTGTGGACAAATCAGTGGTAGAGAGTACCCCATACTGCAACCATAAGCTTGGGATTTAAACCCCACAACAGCCAAATCTGTATTTGACATGGTCCAGAACCTCTGACCCCTCTGATTAAAGATTTCTCAGTGGGAGATTCCAAGAAAGGAATTCCTTATTGTGTTGCTTGGACTCACACAATAATGTCATAGTCACTCCAGGAATTATTTGTGTGTGTGCATTTGTACATACTTGTACAACAGTTTGGATTCTTTTACAGTACAAAAGGTCTTAAAATAACAGATAATGTTGAAATTATAAATCTGGAAAAGTAAGGAATAAATGACTGAGGGATCGCAAATGCATGTGTTTGTTTGCAGAGGTCCTTACCTTGATGTTGCAGGCCTGCTCCATAAGCCTGCGGGCATTTTCCGCAGCTCTGTAGCGTTTAGGGAGCTGGACTCTGAAGAACTTGAGAGCCCCTTCGAAGTCTGCCTGCAAGAGGTCCTCTTTAGATGTCTGGAGCAATACATGAGGAGGTGGGAGGAGAGGGGAGGTGGTGGTGGTGGAGGCAGATAAACAAGAGACATTATGAGTCAGAAAACTTAACATTACCTACATTGTGCTACAATTCTGCACTGTGCTATGAGAGTCTCATAATGTTAGGGTCAGACCAAGACAATCTAGGCCTGCTGTGCAAATACTGAGTATAGTTATTTGAAAGCACTCCTCTCCATTGAAAACCAGTGTCACAATGCTTTAAATACCAGACACAACAGCCCTAACTGGTGCAGTGAAGCTGCTCAGTCACTGAACTGAGGATGTGGTGCAAAGTGCTTTTAAAAAAAAGTATGGAGTCCAGATCATAAATGTTACAGAAAACACACACACAAATGACACCATCTTGTGGTGTAAGGATGCATTGTCATGAGAATCTATCTAGATATTAGTAGATGTACTGCATGTGTTTGATCAACTCTTACTCAAAGACCAAGTCCATATTTATGTTTTTCTCTCTCAATTTGGTCCAGATTAGACCATGTTTTGGCTATTTAATTTCTAATGATAAGTGAGACTATGGGATCAACTATTGAAATATAACTTCTAGACAGCATTATGTTTCCATTTTTGAGTTGACAATTGCATTTTAAAAGCCACTTGTAGGCTTGTAGTTTTCCATATGAATCTATTCATGTAAGATTCAGTGTTTATAGCAGAGAGCTATCAGGCTAGCCATCTCCTGTAAATAAAATATAAGGCAACTGGTTGACACGTCTATCCAATGTGACATACAGAAAAGTACACAGCAAAATGTGCACACTTCAATTTCAAAGGACGTCAAGGATATAGGTCAAACCTTCACTACAACAGATGCAATAAGGAGGGGAGAGACAGAAACTAACAACCATTCCTTTATAACTCTAAACCAGCACATCCCTGCATGCTCAGCTTCTTTCATCCAGCGTCTGTTTCCCAGTCCCCCCCCTCTCACCGCCAGCAGCTTAGGGACGAAGAGTCGGTGTCCCATTCCAAGGAGACCCATCACCCTGCAGAATGAGTCCTCTGAAGCCTGACTGCTGTGGGCCCTCTCCTCTGCTGTTCCCTCTCTGTCCTCCACTGCCATGCGCACTGCTGGAAGGGGCAGATGCGGGGTCAAGGCAGGTATAGGAGGAGGAGAGGGCGGAGGGGAGGATGGTGGCGGGGTGGGGCAGGGTGAGGGAGAGGGGCGGTCCCGCTCAGGGGCCAGGGTGGCAGATGACTCCAGCGTGTCGTCCAAACGTCCCAGTGGGTTTCTTGGAGTTGGAGGAAGCGTGGACTGGGAGCAGATGGGTTGGTCAGCGTGTTCAACTTAGGTGAGCCGAGATTCGCCTTGAGGTCACTATCAAGCCAAACTGGCTGAATCCTGGTGAACGAGATGACTGACACTCTGGGAAGAGATGCTGATAATGCCACATCAGGCAGTGTCACAAGTGACTGATGTTCAGGATGCCACGGAGGAAAGAAGCGAAGAGACGCTCAAAGGAACTCACAGCAACTCAGTAGAGACGGCGCAGGCATCCAAGGCATGCAGCGCTGAGACTGATCCAGTTCATGTAGGCTCCACAGAATTTGGACAAGTGGACAAGACGTCAGTGGAGGCCACTCAGCTTGTACCACTGTCAGAGCCCAGTAACAGCCACTAGGTGTGACAAAATAACAGTCAGGAAATGATGTATTGATGCTGCTTTCGGCATAATGCTGAGTCTTCCAGCTACCTGCCAGACTCACTTTGAAATCCAGTCACACTACCCACTCTCATCTTCCCGTGCCAAACTCCCCCAGCCAATTCCAATCCAGTATGCCGTTGCCTAGCAACAAAGCTGCTCAACACGTGGGCCGCTGCTCCGGCAAACAGCAGCAATGGATAAGTGCTCCACCTTTTTTATTTTTCCTTCGTAGTTAGACTTCAAAGATGGAGAGAATGTAAATCCCCTTCAGCCTGCACAACTGAGTGGCCTTAACGCTTGGGGCTTGGTGCGTATGAGACGACACATCAAAGCAGTCGATATGTTTTGTTCCCTTTTTCCAAATGAGAGGCCACACCTGGTATGAAGCTGACAGGATTTTAGCTTTCTTTGAAATGTAAAATTGCCTGAAATAACAGTATGAATCCTTTTATCTGAAGAGCCCCAGTCTAAGCCTGAGCAGGCAGTCCTGACGACATGGCAGAAGCAGTCGAGATGTGGTCTGTTAGCATGGGAGCATGGCACTTTTCTGCCTTCAGGAGATGATGATGCGTTTGTGTTGATTTATGGCTGAGTGAATGCTGAACTCGTTGAGTCAGATTTAAGCCAGTAATGCATGAAAGACAAGATGAGTTTGAAAAGAGGTAGTAAAACAGAAGTGTATCACAACAGCCTCTCTGTATCTTTGCTCTTCCTCCTTACTGACATAACCCTCTGACATGAAGTCTGACCATATCCAAACCACATAGAGCACTAAAGACACTGTCCAGTCTACAGCTCCAGTGTGGACTTCAGTGTTTGTCCCTCCGGCAGATTTCCATTAGCAGCAGGAGCCAGGCATCCGGTCTGTAGCGGTCAGTAGATCCTTCAGATGGAAAGTCACTTCTGCCTCTCAACAACAAAGGCTAAATGGATGAGGGTTTGCACGAGTGTGTATGTTGTTGTGCTATCAGAAGTGATGGTCCTGGCAAGCAGCTGGGGTGAGGCAAAGCAAAGAAACCACACAGTGTTTCCTGTCCACTGCCTCTTTCTTTTAACACTCTCTCTGCCTTCCTCGTTTTCTCTTTGTGATGCTAACAGCTAACGGCTAGCAGGGGCGGCTCCATTGCAGAGGTCTGGGGTGGTGGACAGAGGTAGCGTGTTGGAGAAATACATAGCCAGCACACACTGAAGAGGAGAAGGCGGAGGGAGAGGAGCAAGACGTAGAAGGAGAGAATGAAGAACTGATGGAGAGAAGAAGCTCCAAGCAGGCATCCATGGGAGGTAAAGATGAAGAGGGAAAAAAATTAAAACAAAAACAACACAGATCTCCTCCAGGTCCAGATTGCTAACGCTATAGCTTATGTTCCTGTTGTGATGTGGATGGCGGCGGCTAAGCACGAGAGGGAGGGAGGTGAACACAGATGGAGGGAGGGGTGATGAGAGTGGGGAGAAGAGCAGGATGGATGGAGGAGGGAGGAGGGAGCCTCAGGGGAGAATGCCGTCATGCCTGGCCAATGAGAAGCAGGCAGTGGAAGCCCCTTCCACCCTCCTCACATCCTCATTTGTTCTCCATTCCCGACCATCACATGCACTACATCTTTCTCTCTCTGCCACGCAGAATACATTATTGCTAAAATATAGACCAGGAGGGGTTTTTAAAATCAGCCATGTATGATTCATTTAGAGAGGAACGACTCAGTGTAGCTGTATGTAAAAGCAAAAACACTTCCTGAGCCAATCTGCAAAATTGGATTGGCTTTAACAGTTTCAATGTAGGCTATATTGGTGCATTCATGTTGTGCAGCTGTTTTATGCAGGCAAAACTGATATTGGATCAGAACACTATAGCAATAAGAGCAATAATGCTCATTACTGCACCACTGTACCGCCTGATTTCCACTAGCTAGAGGACTTTTTCAATATGTCTAAAATAACCAAATTCTTTATGTCTAACTTAATATTTAAACTGAGTGTCAGTACAGTCTTAAAATTAATGGAAATAAAATAAAACATGATGCTAAATTATTTGTTTATTTTGTTTCAGTGCCAAGACATGGACTATATGATGAGAAAAACAATCCTGTTGTTCATCATTGAGTGTTCGTGAAGTTTCAGCTTGAGTTCCACAAGGACTGTCCCATAAAATTAATGGGCACATTGAACAACCAGACACCGGCATGCAATATGACGCAGTCATTGCCAAAACTAATCGGTCCATCCCGCCACAAACAGATCTGATAACACAACAAATAGTAATTCAACACTGTTCTGCTTTGACGGCAAAGACATGCAGTTTGGTTTGGTAATATTTTTAAAAACAGGCATTATTTGCATTTTGTGAAGTTTATTTGTTTTAACATGTTTAATTCTGATAAGTTTCTTTTAGATTAATGTGACTCAAATCATGATTGATTTTAAATAATATTTGCTGTTTTTATTCTCTGTCTCAGTATTGATTGTTGAGTATGTGTACTGTTTTAAAGTAAAACATATTTTTTTATAATATTTTACTTAATATTCTTATAAGAATAAATCCCATGTGCACCCATAGCTGTATGCTAAGAATGTAAATGAATGGGTTGAATGGCAAATTGAAAAAAAAAATAAAAATGTATCCATTTAAGGCTCAAAACATATACTACAACATACTAGTAAAATTATAAACTGAAAGGTATTACTGGAATCACTCACAAAACAAACACACACAGACGTGTTGTTTTAGTCAGAATCTGGTCACTGTGATATAGACTGGCAGCTACTGTGACACGTAATGCATCACATTCAATATGATGTTTAACATGAGTCTTTACCCGTTTGCCCAACTTGTTTTCAACAAATCGACAAATCAGCTTCCCTACCAGGTGTAGTTCCTTATTTGAACACTAGGGGGCAAGAAATGCCAACGAACAAACTAACCTCTGACTATGCACATCCTCACACACAGCCTCTTCTGCACAATCATGGTTCCCAAAAACTTTGCTTTGCACTTTGTGGTTTGTAACATTCTTACTTACAACAATGCTAATAAACTGTTCTGTGCACAGCCACCATCTTTATTGCCACATGCAAGTAATGTCTTAAATCCGGCTGGGTTTATCTTTGGTGTACAAAACAAAATCGATATATCAATGCAAACAATATATATTTTTCCTGTTATATTGAAGCAAAGTGGATTCAAAACTAAACATCTCGATTGGTTTAAAGAAATAGGATTACTGACATGAGAACAGATTTGATAGAATTTAAACAGATGGTTACAGATAGATGAGTGAAGTAAGTACTAACCTTGAGCAAGGCCAGGGCTACATTGAAGATGATGTTCAGACCCTGGAAGAGAGAGGATAATTAGATGTGGGTACAGAAACGACGTGGGTAAACTATAATGTTCATGTGTATGAGCAGGCTTTTAAAAATTTCAGGGGATCAGTGGATTTATTTCTGATTAACTGAAACTGAAATGTTTATTCTTAATTTGACAGCAATTTATGGCTGTACAGCTAAAAATATTACTGAGATGTTTGAAATCTTGCAAGGGTTGGTGCCAAAGAGGGGAGGAAGAGAGGTAAAATATCAGATGATGAGGAGTCCTCATCCTCACTGCTACTTAGGCGAGAGTTTTGATTTCTTTTCTAAATTTGGATTCAACACTTTATATTAAAAACATCTTCCCACTGGTGCCCGTACTGACACCCTCTACAGTGTGTCTGTTTATAGTGATGGGATGTTCTTCTACAGATGCGTTTCTGGATCTTCCTGATTTAATGTGAAAATAATTAACTTTTATCTAGAAATATTGTCTATTATAACTTCTAACAACAACTTCATGAAAGAAACACAGCAAAAAATATCTGCAGTGAAATGAAAGCCGTTGCTATATAGTTAAGTTCTACAGCATCAACATCTCCTCCTTCCCTAGAAAATATAACTTCAAAAGATGTTTTTTTTTTTTTTTGAGAAAAACCTCAAAATAAAAAATAGACAAAGTAAAAAGTTTACTATGTTTTATTCATTACCTGTACTATGTTTCTATAAAAATCCCTGATTACTGTGTGGAGCAGACTATTGCATAATAAGTCTTGTTTCTATTTGCTGATATATGGACATCAATGCTTGACAATATGTTTTCCTTCCTCTTTTGTTTTTACAATCCCTCTGATTTTGACACAGAAAGAAAGAAAATGTTAAGCTGATGTCAGCTCTGCATGGGAACACCCGTCTCCTTAGTCTCCGTGACGACCAGTTCACATGGCAACACAGAGCTAAAAATATCTGGACAGCTCTAAAAATAACTGGAGAAAGAAAAAAGAGAGGGGGAGTTCTGCCTTCACACACCTATCTTTGTAGGCCTCAAGATGGAGCTACAGTGCTGAGACAGGATCAAAGGTGTGTATGAGAGACAGAAAGATAATCTGAGTGTGTGTATCCAAGCAAGACAGATTCGTGTAGGAAAAAAGAGATACAAACATACAGCAAGGGGAGACATGATGAAATTGACTGGGAAGGTGACGAGGCAGTAGACCAAGAGAGGCGTGAAGGTTCAAGACTACATGATGAGTGCAAAAAAAGTTTTAGATGCAAGTCAAGCAGAGTTAAAGGTCCAGTGTGTAAAATTTATGAGGATCTATTGGCAAAATTAAATATAATATTCATAGGTTTGTTTTCATTAAGTGAATAATCACCTGAAATAAGAACTGTTGTGTATTTATTACAGCAGTTTCTGCTACACGACTGGAAGGTTAACAGTGTTTAGTTGTTTGCAATCTGCAATTTCACCGTTAGATGACACTAAATCCTACACACTGGTCCTTTAAGTCGATAGAGAAACAGAGGCAGGATCATTTTGCAGCTCTCTACCACCAGATATGTGATATTGTTTGTTAAAATTAAACTTGAGCAGCACTGAATGGTAAATGGTGAAAGCCACTCACGTATGAACTGAACATCAACGCGTGGCCTTTGGACTCTTGTATTACTCAGGCAAAACACAAGCCAAACAAGCCCAACCTTTAACTTACTGTTTCTAGATATGACGTAAAGGGATATTGAATGAGGAAAAAAAGTAGTTATCAAAGTAAACTACCGATTAGACAATGAAAAACAACAGCTGACTAAGGGGGTGATTTATAAAAAGGGATAAGAAAAAGGCTCATAGAAACAACAATGACAGAAAGGGGATACAAGCAAGAACAAGAAACAAGGGAAGACAAAATGTGTAAAAAATAAATGAATTAAGAGCAAACAAAGACAGGCTGGTAAAGAGAGTGAGCAATGACAGGCATCTGTTTAAAGAGACAGAAAAAGGAAAAGATAAGAGAAATCCAAATAAGCCAAATAATACTGAATAAGAGACAGTAGAAGAAGGAATACACAGCAAAAACAAGTTGTTAAAGAAATTGCAAGGAAAGACAGGAATGACAGAGAGAAAGTCAACAAGGAAAGAGAAAGATGATAGAGAAAGGAAGCAATAAACATGTGGGAGAAGATGATGGAGAGAGCCAAGAAGAGGAGGGCAAACAGAGAGGGATGCAGGAGATGAGAATTCTGGTTTAACGAGCAGATTCTCATCATGCGGCTCATTGGGTGAGAAAGACCAGGGAAACTTTTAATTGTTCTGCCTGGGGCCAATAGGAGGACAGACAGAGGGAAGGAGAGAGAAAAAGAGGAAGGTGGCGGGTGGGGTGGTGGTGGAAGGGAGAGAAAACAAATAGGGCATTTGACTTTTGATGTTTTATGTAATGGAACTTTTCAGAACAAGACAAAGATTAAAAAAAATCTTAAAAACACTAATTATCTTTTCTCTCTTTCTTCTGTACACACAAACATAAAAGTAACACATAAATATACTCCCACAGAGGGAGAGACAAAAAATGGGTCTGTGTGGTACTGCTCTTGAACTCAATCTCAAGCTGCTGTTATGGGAAATGCCTCTTCATCTGGCAATTTTAGGTGTGGTGTTCCTCAAGGCTCAGTTCTTGGCCCCTTTACTTTAGGTTTATATGCTCCAAACACAATATTTATTTTCCAAAAGGACACAGCTGCATGTTCCACCTCTAGATAAGGGCCTCAGTCAGATAGTCCCAGTGCACCCTCATTACACATTTGGCTTCATCAGGTTTGTCTGGCAGCTTTACCTGCCACCTGATCCGACTCACCGACAGGTGGTGATCAGCTAAAAGCTCTGTTCCTCTCTTCACCTGATCATATGGTCAGATCACATGATACAGTCAAACAAACAAAAACTCATGCCTCAATTTAAAGAAAAAAACATTGCTGGGGTTCAGATCTGGAGAAACTATTTTCCGAACTACAATTTTACTAAAAATATTTTATAATCTTTTTTGTTCATATACTATTTTAACTACTTTTATTTCTTGCCTCCCTCTGGATTTGAATTTGGTGTTTTACTGAATTCATGCCTCATAGTGTTTTTATTGTAGATAATGTAAAAAAAAAAAAAAAAAAAAGCTATCTGATCAATTTAAAAAAAAATTATTTTTAAAGTATTTTCTGGGATCTTTTTTCCCTTTATTAGATAGCATAGCTGAAAATAGGTAATGGGGCAGAGAGAGACAGGGGATGACACGCAACAAAGGGCTGCAGGTCGGACTCGAACTCATGGCCGGTGGAGCAAAGATTCAGCCTTTGTACATGGGGCACCAGCTCTCCCAGGTGAGCTATATCAAAGTGGTGCTGTTGATTATTGTGTGCTATTCTCTGATGGGCAAAGGAAGTCTGTGTTAGCATGCTATGTTCTACAAAAGAAATTCAGTTTGAGCATTTGAGTGCTGTAGATATTGGTTTGTTTTTTATGTTTTAGTTTTGTATCTTCACCATGAATGTGTCAGGATGCAATTTTAAGCAGCCACGTCAAGTCACATGGCTTCCAATGACAGACTATGAAAGAACACACACAACTGTTTTAACAAATATCTCTGAGTTTTTTTTCTATCACTGTTTGATCATTCATCCTCTGTGATCTCAGGGGAAATACACTTCAGAATTCCGAAGTTAAGAAAGTTAATTACAAAATATCACAGAATTTGAAGAAATTGCTTGTTTGTTAGAAATTGGAATACATCACTTTTGAAGATAGCATTAAGGAATACTGATCATTAGTATTTTGTAGTAGTGAGTCCAACCAAAAACATCACAAGTGCTTTTGGTAGAAGGTGTCTTCAGAGAAGCTTTCTCTAAAAAACGTTTTGAACAGGAAGCAAGCAGTGATTGGTATCAGGTCAAGTGGTCCTAATGACATTAAATGAGTGATCATATCAACCCTTAAAAGCCTGATCAGTGCATATCTATTGATTACTTTGGAAAGATATTAGATCAAACCACAGAGCAGAATACAGATGGATCAGTGCTGGTTCTGGTATAGCTTTGCCTTAAGTGCCCTTGTGGCCACTGATAGTCACAGTCAGTGGAGGTGCTGTACAGTTAAACCAACTCCTCCCCCTCCATCCTTCTTTTCCTTTCATATTTCCTTCCTCCCTCCTAACTTGATGGTCCCCTTACTTCCCAGTAACCTCAGCCACTCCTCTTCTTTCTCTGACCTTCTTTTCTACCTCCTGACTACTCCTCTCATCTTTTCAGAAGGCTGACATTCCACTTATTGGACTCTGGATAATGTAGATCGAATCACTCTCACTGTACTCCCGGTATAAAGTAGTGCAGTGAATAAAACTGTACCTCACAGAGCAGCAGGTCAGTGATGTGGAAAACCATGCACAGGGGGAACTTGGCAGTGAAGAGGGTGAGGAACCACTGGGAGGCGTACATGTGTGCCTCCAGGTTCAGATCCTGGAAGTGGGACCACAGGTCTGGAAGCTGTTCCTTTAGGAGCGGATAGAAGAGAAGGAGGAGAAACTTGTGAGATAAAACAGCACTTACAAGAATATAAAGATATGGCCCTGCTTGTCATTTCAATTTTACATTATTTCATTTTCACTCAAACTTTATTAAATCATGCTGTCTCACTGAGATGATAATCTCTTTCAAGAGAGACCCAAGAACACAGAAGAGTTAAGAAAGACACATAACACAATTCAGTACCACGTCCCAGCTGCCAAACAGTCAGAGACATTATTCATATATTATACACATTGTTCAACTTCCAGTAAATACATAAAAAGGAAAAGATACTAGAATATACAAAGCAATTATATTCACAAAATTTGACATGGACAAATCTGTAACCAGGATGAGCAGTTCCACCTTTGCAGAGCAGTCTGTTTCACGCCAAAATTCAGCATTGTCAATGTTACTTTATCATTTTGTGTACTTTATCATTTGATGAGGGGATTTCCACTTAATATTCTCACTCCTCACCATTTTTGCTCTAGTTAATCTGTTTTTATATTTCTATTTTGCATGCTACTGCATCTTTCAAGTAGAAAAGGGTGCTTGTGTTTTTTAGCATCCATGCATGTACAGTGAATAAAGGATTCAATTAGCCAAATAGCGATCCACTTTGGCAGCCAACACTTACCATGCCACATGACACCTGGCTAGATCAGATAGTGAGCTCTCACCTGTATGCTAATGATTAGCAGTCAATGCTAACATCCTTACATTTAGCACATTAGGTCGATGCTAACTGAGTTGATCTTGATGCTGAGAGACGACTGCCTGCAAGGCCAGGATGGATTTCAGAGCGAAATTAAACTCTACTCAGTG